CCCCTTCCCCTCCCTGCGCCCACATGTCCATTCTCTACCTCTGTATCTCTATTCCTGCTTGGAAATTACCACGACATACCAAATTACCTGGAAAGTCTATAGACATAAAGAACGTGTCTATAGTATATTATTTGTGCCCTTTGAGCTTCCATAGCTGGGACCTCTGACTGGCCTGCTCAGTCATGACAGCTGTGGGGCTCCTTTTCTTATTTCCCCTTTAAAATTCTTTGTATTTTAAATTTTTGAAATTTTGTATTGGGGTATAGCTGGAATCAAGATTGCCGGGAGAAATATCAGTAACCTCAGATATGCAGATGACACCACCATTATGGCAGAGAGTGAAGAGGAACTAAAAAGCCTCTTGATGAAAGTGAAAGAGGAGAGTGAAAAAGTTGGCTTAAAGCTCAACATTCAGAAAACTAAGATCATGGCATCTGGTCCCATCACCTCATGGGAAATAGATGAGGAGACAGTGGAAACAGTGTCAGACTTTATTTTTTGGGGCTCCAAAATCACTGCAGATGGTGATTGCAGCCGTGAAATTAAAAGACGCTTACTCCTTGGAAGGAAAGTTATGACCAACCTAGACAGCATATTAAAAAGGAGAGACATTACTTTATCAACAAAGGTCCATGTAGTCAAGGCTATTGTTTTTCCAGTGGTCATGTATGGATGTCAGAGTTGGACTATGAAGAAAGCTGAGTGCCGAAGAATTGATGCTTTTGAACTGTGGTGTTGGAGAAGACTCCTGAGAGTCCCTTGGACTGCAAGGAGATCCAACCAGTTCACGCTAAAGGAGATCAGTCCTGGGTGTTCATTGGAAGCACTGATGCTGAAGCTGAAACTCCAATACTTAGGGCGCCTCATGCGAAGAGTTGACTCATTGGAAAAGACCCTGATGCTGGGAGGGATTGGGGGCATGAGGAGAAGGGGACGACAGAGGATGAGATGGCTGGATGGCATTACCGACTTGATGGGCATGAGTTTGAGTAAACTCCAGGAGTTGGTGATGGACAGGGAGGCCTGGTGTGCTGCGATTCATGGGGTCGCAAAGAGTCGGACACGACTGAGCGACTGAACTGAACTGAACTGATAGCTGATTAACAAACAATGTTGCAAAAGTTTCCAGTGTATAGCAAAGGGACTCAGCCCTACATATATATGCATCCATTCTCCCCCAAACTCCCTGCCAGCATTTTTATTTCAAACATGACTGGGAATTTCAATAGCTATTTATTGAATCCCTATTATGCAGTAGTTGACTTGTTAACTTTTGTATACATTATCTACTTTTACTTTTTACAACAATATCAAATTAATATTATTATCCCCATTTAAGAGATTAGGGTTAGCAAGAAGATCCAACCAGTCCATCCTAAAAGAAGTAAGTCCTGAATATTCAGTGGAAGGACTGATGCTGAAGCTGAAACCCCAATACTTTGGCCACCTGATGTGAAGAACTGACTCATTTGAGAAGACCCTGATGTTGGGAAAGATTGAAGGCAGGAGGAGAAGGTGATGACAGAGGCTGAGATGGCTGGATGGCATCACCGACTCGATGGACATGAGTTTGTGTAAGCTCCAGGAGTTGGTGATGGACAGGGAGGCCTGGTGTGCTGCAGTCTATGGGATTGCAAAGTGTCGGACACAAATGAGTGACTGAACTAAAGAGAAAGGGAATTGAGTCCCCAAGTGATCTCATGACATCATACAGTGTGCTGAGGCACATGGATTTAACCTGTGCCCTCTGGTCTAATTGTAATGTCTTCTCACTACAACAAAATCATTTCTGTACTTAAAAAGTGCATAAGCACCCTTTAGGAAGAGTCTTGTATGTTGTTCCAAAGAAAGACAAAGTCTGTAAAGTGTTTTCCCTTGAGAAGACAAGCTCTTCTCGAAAGCCAAAGAAAAACAACTTCGTGTGTAGAACATCAATTCTGCAGCTGCAGACTTCCTGTCTATTAATAGGTACACCATAATTTGTATCATTTTTATGCCATCTCCCCAAATATTCTACCCATTAATTCTTTGAAGTGTTTTAATCAGTCTTGTCATTCACACATTGAGTTAAATCCAGTTTTATTCTCAGTGGGACCCTAAGTGCATGAATAAATTTGCAAAGTCTTTTGATGCCTAAGTGGCTTGCAAGACCCCCCCCCTCACCTTTCTTATTGGCCAGTGCAGTGTTGGTTACGACCGTACTTTTTGTTTTGTTTTGTTTAAATTTTAAATCCATTTTTAAGATTTAAAAATTGAGTAGTTTTATATTGATATTCCAGTCTGGCCCACTGGTCTTACATTGTGAAGAGCATAATTACCTGTTAGAAATGGCCATAACTACCTTGTGAAGACAGAACACCATCTTTATCCCAGTCTTCCTCTCTTTCTCTCTCTTTTTCTCACCTGATACTGAAGCTGTGTGTCAGGTTCCACTTACCATAACATAAATGTGGCTTCACTCATTTTTATTATTATCTTTGCCCCTGTAGTTATTTGAGTTTATGAAGTTCTTTTTCTCTGTTACTTGAAAGAGATTTTTATTCTTAGAGTGATTTTGTGTATTCCAACTTTGATAGAAGGACATCAAATTGATGTAGAAAAGATGCCATAGCGTATGAGGGAAGCAGTGGTTGAAATTGATCAACAGACTCCAGAATCTACCATTTCCACCTTGAGAATGAAAAAAAAAACCAAGACAAATGTGGAGAAATGAGATCCTATAGAGTTTAAGTTTCTTCAGGAGACTATATGGGTTTGGTCTTTATTCTACTTTGGTCACTTGAAATTTGCTTTGCAATATCTCCTAGAAAAAATAGTGGAACATGAAGATTCAAATTTTATAATGTCTGTCTAACATTCATAGAGTGCTTTCAAATAGACACAAAAGCCTTATTCCAGACCCTCTGATTGTCTTCTAAATACAGGTACTAAAATTACAGATAACAGTTCATTTCTTTACGTTTTGGGTGATTAGACATATAACAGTATATGAAGAAAGTGAAGTCGCTCAATTGTGTCTGACTCTTTGTGAGACCATGGACTGTAGTCTACCAGGCTCTTCCATCTATGGGATTTTTCAGGCAAGAGTACTGGAGTGGGTTGCCATTTCCTGCTCCAGAGGATCTTCCCGACCCAGGGATCGAACCCAGGTCTCTCGCATTGTAGGCAGACTCTTTACTGTCTGAGGCACCAGGGAAGTCCATAACAGTATATGTACAGGTAAATATTTGATTTGTTTATAACCAAAGTGAATTAGTGCATTTTTCTGCAAACCTCAGGAGTTGGATGCCTAGTATTAACATTTAATTTTCCACAACATTCTGTGCAGTATGGAGATCTCCAAGACAGAATTGTAACTAGGTGTATGAAAAGATGAACTGACTCGCCTCGGGCTGCAAGGTGATTTGGGGATGAAGATGAGCACTCATTGAGTGCTAGCACTGCTCGTTTTGAGCGTTCACCGTGGATCAGGTGCCAGGCTAAGTGACTGTGCCACCTCATTTAATTCTTGCTGTAAGTCTGTGATGGAGACATCACTTCCGTTTTTCAACTGAGGATACTTGGAGTCTTAGAAATAAAATGATTTGCCCAAAGTAGCACAGTTGGAAACGGGATCTGGGGTTTCAGAACAAATCCGTGTGCTTTTAAAGCTTTATCCTTAAAGCCCTACATCACACTACGTGATCCTTGCGGTACTTCCCCAATGCATAACTAGACACATTATTTTCTTTGTCTCTAGACTCAGAGCTGTAAATAATATGTGAATGGTGATGAAAGACAACTTTGATTTTGAATGTTTTGACAGTTGTGTTGAATTATTTGTAACTACAGAGAGAGGACCACTATTAATTTGCTCCTTTGTGCTCTTATAAAAAAAAAACAAACTATTGCATCATATGCTTTTCCTTCATCATTGTGGCAGTGGTGTTCTGCCTCCCGTTTCTCAGGTACAGACGAGATAATCCAGCTCATGCTTACCTGAATCTATGTGGGTGGGGAGTTCAGCCCACCCATGTGTAACTTTCAAACTGCCTAAGATTCAGTTCGTTTCATATTAACATGCATTAATGATGTATACTTGTGAAATTTAAGGTTGAGACATACTCTAAGTAACTAGACCTCTGACCTTTTGCCATGTGACCATAGGCAAGTTATCCCATATCTCTGAGCCTCAGTTTCCTCATTTATGATGGAAATAATGGTACCCATTGCATAAGGGTATTACTGACCCCCTAGTATATTTCTGGCTCTAAATAGCTGCATATTCATTCAATACCAGTTTCTTATCTACATTTTTTTTTTTTACTATCAGTTAAATGGTATGTCCTTGCCATTCATCCAAAGTCACAACTCAAAAAAAAGGGGGGGGGGGTCGTGTATAGCTTAACCCCATTCATTTTTTAATTTTCTTGTCAAAGGCTGATTAATCAGTTTCCTAGTTGCATAATTAACAGAGACAAAGCCGGAGTCATTAACTACCAAAATTTTTAAAACACAGAAGAGAAAAATGAAAAGCAACGAACCACCTAGAGTTAAAATGTGATAAGAAACATCCTAAGCTGATTAAAACCTGTTGGCAGGTGGCTGAAACAAGTCCTTGGAGTGATTTCAGGAGGCTCTGTGATGCCTATTTCAGATTTGTTACTGAGGCAGCTGATCTCATCCTCGTAAGAGAGGCAATGTTTCATGTTCTCTCAGCGCTGCGTTGGGCAGGTGGGGTGCTATTAAGCTACAAAAAGCAGCAACGAGCTCTGCAAGCTTTCTACGTTTTTGGAGAGACTTAAGGAAGGTGTAAAATCTACTTGTTTTTGGAAGCTGGCTGTGGATTTTGTGATTGGCACCCCAGACTTTGACCCATAGATGAAAGGCCTCCTGTTGGTCTCCTCTGCCCTCGCCCTGTCGCAACCCCCCAAATCACTTTTGAAAAAAGGAGGCTTGGTAAAGAATCCCTCGTTTATCCACATTTTCTCCTCTTTCTTCCCTAAATTTATGTTTTGCAGGACAAATGATACTGGTTTTCTTTCCTTCAAAGACCACTTGCCTGTCACTCAGATAGTTATCACTGATACGGACAGAACAAACTCAGAAGCGGCTTGGAGAATTGGTCCCTTGCGTTGCTATGGCGACCGTGAGTACTAAATTGAAAGAAGCTTTCTCTCTCCTTACATAAGCTCAAGATATTTTCTTGCCTTACCCTTTTCCCTGCGGTGCCCCAGTCCTGAAAGTCATCCACACGCCCAGTGCTTTCCTATAACCCGTTCCATGCTAAGGGTCTCTCTCCACTTGCAGGACACTTTTGGAACGCGGTGTCATTTTATACAGAAGCCTCTTACCTCCACTTTCCTACCTTCCATGCGGAATTCAGCGCTGACATTTCCTTCTTTTTTAAAACCACGGCTTTATCTGGAGTTTTCCTAGAAAACCTTGGCATTAAAGATTTCATCCGACTGGAAATAAGCTGTAAGTTTTCTCATTTATGAATCTAATGTAACTGATCAACAGAAGTTTCAATCTTATCTTTTCCACAAGCAACTAGTGTATATTTCAACCATCAAGTTAATATCCCTGGGTATCTGTCAGGTTAGCAATGGTAATTTCTAGTTTCTTCTTATACTTTTTGTTTTATTATTACCTAACAGTATTTAAAGAGTCATTCTCTTTTCAAAATAGTGCATTCCCCAAATTCCCATAGATATTTGTTTACAGTGTTCTTTATCTGCTCCATGGGCATTTATTACATATTTTTTGTTTTTACACCACTACAAAGTCTATGGAATGCTGAGAACACTAGTGTTCTGCATTCTGTTTATACTTAGGGTCAACTTTGTTGCTATACCTTTGCTCCGCAAGGTGTTTCCTGACTTATTTCCCATCATCAGGAGTATGTGCCTACACAATCAGAATTTTCATTGTTTCTCTACCACTTTACCATGAACAGGGGTGTATCTAGTGAATTTTGTGTCAGGATGTGGATCATTTTTTAACATTCCATTTCCTATAAACAAAATATATTCAGAAATAATCATGAAGTTAAATGAAAGGCAATAGAACTGCAGATGCAGAAATGTTCTATTAATGAAATTTTATATGTAATCATGCCAATAAAAAATTCCAGTAGAAAAAAGACAATACAATAATTTTAATCACCTTAATTAATTTTTATATAAAAAGGAAAATATCTACATATTGATCTGTCACAAGAATTGTAGTAGCATTAAAGTTTCTGTTTCTTAGGCTTGACTTATGCAAATTTGTGAGTGATTGCATCAAAATTTTCTTTGCATGTTCCTGTTCAAAAGAGAGCATAATGAGATTTATCCATTCATCTTTTCTCATACTGATCAAAGGGTACTTTTTATTAATTTTAAACTTAAAATATGTTGCACATTAAGTGGTATATATATACATTTTTAAGAAAGATTGATTTTAAACATAAGGCTAAGTTTGATAGAGATTCATAAAAATTCCATTTTACAATAAATTTCAGAAACTGCAATACTTTCTGTTTTTTCACCATTGATGCTAGCAATTTCAAATATCTCCAAAATTAAAAAACCTATTCACTAAAGTACTTGTACTGGAAAATTCATCATGGGTCACTATTCCATTTGGTAAAGCCTTACATAGTTCCTAAGGACTTGGAATTACTTAAGCTCTCTTGGACTTCCCTGGCGGCTCAGACTGTAAGGGATCCAGCTGCAGTGCAGGAGACCCAGGTTCAGTCCCGGGTTGGGAAGATCCCCCGGGGAAGGGAATGGCAACCCATTCCAGTATTCTTGCTGGAGAATCCCGTGGACAGCGGAGCCTGGTGAGCTACAGGCCATGGGGCTGCAAAGAGTCAGGCACGACTGAAAGACTAACACAAGCTCTCTTCAGGTGCTATTTGTGTTCTCACTCCCTGCAGTGCTATATGTTCCCCTGTTTCAACAGCAGAGCTAAGTTAAACAGTGATGGTACAGCAGCTGTAATAACAGAAAGTCAAAACTTGAGTTCTTATTCTTAAAAACAAAACACATATTTTAGTCTGCTTGTTCAGGAGCCAATAGTAAGTTAGGAGGTCTCTCTATTAACTTTCCTCTTGAATATAATATGTATTAAATGGTAGGCAAATGCGATTTGAACCTTACATATGCATTATTAAAAAGTAATTATCACCATCAGCATTTGTTACAGATTTTTTTCTTGGTGGAGGAACATTTTATTGCTGGCATTATTTAGAATCACTGGTGTGTGGCAATAATAGAAAACACTTCTTTTAGTTGCTCTTCTTAGTTTCCTGATTCTCTGCCTTAAGTGTACCCCCCTTTTTCTCATACACAAGTTGGACTGCTTCCACTATCTTGCCCTTATTAAAGTCATGACTGGGGAGGCGTGTGCTTTTCATTAGGTTTCTCACTTATCTGGATTCAAATGGATGTTTTCTTTGGTTTGATTGATGCAATGGACTGTATTACAGTAGTAATATGACTATATGAAATACCCTTGGAAGCTTAAGTAATATCTTAGCAACAGAAACTTAGAAATTTGAGCACTCCAGAGAAAGATACAAAAGTGCTGGCTGGAAAAGATAACTGCGGTATCTGTACAAGTCTGCTGCAAAGCATGACACAGCTAAGTGTTTCTTCTGCAGTTACGGCACAATACAAAAAAAAGATCTCTCTAATTGGTAGTTTTAACCTCCTTTTACTCCAGTGATTTAGGCTGTTAATGGGAGGAAGCTCTTGTGGCTTTAGTGCGAAATAAGATCCCTCATATCTACCTTGGGCAAGTTCTAAGTATGTGGAGTTGAGTGCCAAACATTTAATAATATGGATATAATAACCTCAATGTAAATTCAATAAAAATCAAGCCCTGAGGCCTTTCGATTCATTAAAGCAGCATCAAGTGTTATGGCATATTATCACAAGGTAATGAGCTATGATTTAGTATTAATTACATTTCAGTGTCCGATTTGTTTGTACTTTCTGGTGCTATATTTTGTCTTTTAGGTGATTCTTTCTTATGCTTTTTGTTTCACTATTATATTGTACAAAACTATTTTAAATGCAAATGATATTAAATCTGATTGAAATTTAAAATCCAGTGATGTCATTGTTTGGTGCACACATTTCACCAGATCAGAGAACATGTGTTTTTCAAACTAAGATTTTAAGTAAACTTTTTCAAAGTACAAAGCCTCATATTTTTCAAAATATCTTGTTTTATGATTGTTATTTGAAAGGAAAAACTGGACTTACCAGATGGTCCAGTGGTTAAGAACCTGCCTGCCAATACAGGGCAAATGGGTTCAATCTCTGGTCCGAGAAGATCCCATATGCAGCGGGCCAGCCAGTCCTGTGTAACCACAGCTGCTGGGCCTGCGCTCTAGAGCTGAGAGCTGCGACCGCTGAAGCCCAGTGCCCAGCCCTGTGCTGCGCAACGAGAGGAGCCGCCACGAGAAGCCTGCGGACTGCAGCTAGAGAGCGGCCCCAAGGCCCGCTGCAGCTAAAGAAAGCCTGCGCACAGCAGTGAAGACCTGACTTAGCCAAAATCAACCAGTCAATAAATTTAAGAGGAAAACGAACAAGCGTGGGGGAGGGGGCGGAGCTTTCATTTCTTACTAACAGCTGCAGTCATCTTGTGTCTCTTTTTTTCAATGTCCTCCTTCTGCTAGGCTATGATCTTCTTGTGCTTTGAGGATCCTTTCTCAAATAAGAAGCTTTTCTCATTATTTATTTATTTGGCTGTAACAGGTGTCAGTTTCCGCCTGTGGGATCTTCATGGCCACATGGGGGGTCGTTAGCCGAGCCCTACAGACTCAGCTGCAGCAGGAGTGATCTTAGTTCCCTGACCAAGGATCTAACCCAGCCCTGTGCGTTGGGAGCGGAGAGTCTTAGACACTGGGCCAGCAGGGAAATCTCCACTATATTTTTTATATAGATGGAATTTTCATCACAGAGATTCTTCTACAGGTCAACTTCTTAGAAAGAAAATAGCCTTCATAGTAGATTTCTCAGAGTGGATTTCCCTCTCCTCCCAAAGGAATGTTACTGTGTAACTATGTGAACAGAAATTTTCAAAATCGATGCGTCCAAATTGTTGAACATTGAACAAGTTCGCATAAAATTCTCAATCTATTACCTTCTGGGTCATTTCCAACTAAAGACATTTTTATTTTGTAACCTTGAGATTAGTCTGTACTCTGTGAAACACAAGATACTTTATGTCCTCAAGTCTTAATGGATTTGTTTCAAATGAGACAAAAATAATAGCTATTTTTACAATTACCTAACAATTGCCGTGTGGGTAAAAATAGATATTTTAGGGTGCATGAGGGGATCAGAAGAAAATGGCTGTTGAGAACAGTCTGGCATCATGAAAAGAGACTATTGTTGCTAATGCAGTGTGGATTCTAATTTCTGTTTCTAGAACTCTAAATTGTGGGGAAGTTCTTCATCTCTTCATTGCTTATTTGTGCAAGATGGAATTGGTGGCACCCATATGCCAATCAGACACATTTGACTATAATTAAAAAAAAAAATTCACTCTGAACTGGTAAACATAAGAATGGGAATTCACTGGTACCAGGGCATGTGACTAACCGCAGAATTGGTGAGGTACTTTATTTCTGATTAGATTCAGCCGTGAACAAGCATTCAGTTCAGTTCAGTCGCTCAGTCGTGTCCGACTCTTGGCAACCCCATGAATCGCAGCACGCCAGGCCTCCCTGTCCTTCACCAACTCCCGGAGTTTACTCAAACTCATGTCCATTGAGTCGATGATGCCATCCAGCCATCTCATCCTCTGTCATCCCCATCTCCTCCTGCCCGCAACCCCTCCCAGCATCAGGGTCTTTCCCAGTGAGTCAACTCTTCACATGCAGTGGCCAAAGTATTGGAGTTTCAGATTCAACATCAGTCCTTCCAATGAACACCCAGGACTGATCTCCTTTAGGATGGACTGGTTGGATCTCCTTGCAGTCCAGGGACTCTCAAGAGTCTTCTCCAACACCACAGTTCAAAAGCATCAATTCTTCGGCGCTCAGCTTTCTTTATAGTCCAGCTCTCACATCCATACATGACAACTGGAAAAACCGTAGTCTTGACTAGACAGACCTTTGTTGGCAAAGTAATGTGTCTGCTTTTTAATATGCTATCTAGGTTGGTCATAACTTTCCTTCTAAGGAGTAAGTGTCTTTTAATTTCATGGCTGCAATCACCATCTGCAGTGACTTTGGAGCCCCCCAAAATAAAGTCTGACACTGTTTCCACTGTTTCCCCATCTATTTCCCATGAAGTAATAGGACCAGATGTCATGATCTTAGTTTTCTGAATGGTGAGCTTTAAGCCAACTTTTTCACTCTCCTCTTTCACTTTCATCAAGAGGCTTTTAGTTCTTCTTCACTTTCTGCCATAGTACTAAATGCTTTATATTCATTATTTAATTTTGTTTTCAAATTATCATATGTATAATCATCAAGATATTATGTTTTGCATTGTTTGACTCATAGTCCAAAATGCAGATGAGGATAGTAAGCCTTGAGTTGGTAAATAACACACCCAGAGTCACCTAGTAAGATTCAGAATCCAGGATTCAATTCTCTGTTCATTTGAACAACTCCTTATTCTGCTTTGCAAAACTACCTCAAGGACCAAGAATGTTAGAAATTAAGAAAATATCATTATTTTCTTTCTTGTTTTGAAGCATAGGACATTCAGCAAGTTTTTGCAACTGAATGCAAAATTGTATGTGCTTCCCCCCCCCCCCCCGAGGTAAGTTTGTCATCAGATCCTCGGAGAGTCCATGCCTCCAAAAAAGTAACAATAGTTCATTTATGGCTGTCATTTTAGAGATGAATACATGGGAGGTCAGAGAGATCAATAGACTACAGTAAGGCCTTGCATCTTCTTTGTTCCATTATGGTCCCTGAGATGTCTCACATGCCTGACTTTAATGGGTCTGCGGACACAGAGATGGTGTCACAGTTCAAGGAAGCAAGGGCTTTGTACAGAAACTTTAGAAGGTTCTTCTAATCACCTAGGAGAACTCGGTATTCAATTGCTCATGCTTATGGTACTTTCCTCAACTTGACATGCCCCTTCTTGCCAGTCTTCTCTCAAGTACACGTGAGCTCGTTTTGTTTTATTCATCTCTGCTTAGCACAAGCTTGCTTTGGTAAAAAAAAAACCCCAAAGACTCAAGTAACTCCTCAGCTTTGTCTTGAACCATATGGTATAAATAACGAGGGAGGGTATTTGTCAGACTGTTAGGAGAAGGAGAGGCAAGAAGGTAAATTAATGATAGAGGTGATGCTACCACAGGGCCACCAGCTTTCCCATCTTGGGCCACTGGGCTGTGTCTATCCCCCCAGAAAAAAAGAGCTAATTCACATTGGTCTCAAGTGTCCAGTCCACCAAATCACTAGCCAATGTTGGATGTATCACCATGTATTTACTTTTTTATTTCACTCAGTTTTTTTTGAGGAACGTATATTATACTGATTTATATCCAGATTTGACTTCCCAGGTAGGGCTTGCATAGGTTTTGAGGATGGAAGATTTGTCACAGGACAAGTGGGTTAAAAAGTGAGCTCCAGAGACACATCACCGGGATTTAAATACCAACTCTGCCAACTCTGCGTTGGAGTAATTTCTCAGCTATCTGTGGATCAGTTCCCTCTTTCTCATAGGATTGTAATGAGTTGATTAATGAAAAATGCTTAGCAGAGTGCCTGGATCATGGTAAGCACTCAGTAAATGTTGGTTACTATTATTGCATTTCACTGATTCTTCCCTAATTCTAGGAAGGAGGTGAACATAGTTGATCTTTAGTAGTGACTTGAATAAAGTTAAATAATAATAATTTTAGAAGTTTTTTAAGGACCTAATATCTTGATGTAAAATTTAAAAAAAAAGAAAAGAAAATTGCAAAGTTGGATGTAGTATGTGCAATGTAACATTTTAATGAATGAAATATTAGTTTGATGAGAGCTTCCTGTATATAAGGCCCAGTCTTAGGTTCTGGTTTTCCAATAAATGAGGTATTCATCTAGAGTTTGCAGACTAGCTGGGAGACAGACCATAAACAGATCACTATACAACAGAGGGATAAATGTTGAAGTAGAGATAAGCACAGTCTGGAAGCATAACGTGGAGTTGAGGATGGCAGGGGGTGGAGGGCAGACAGCTGTGCAGTCAGCCCTCCACAAAGATGTGCTGTCTGTGCGGAACTTAATATCCACAAGATCAGCTTTGCAGAAAGACTTTTAGCAAAGTCTTTAGTAGCCCTCCCCATCAGTTCCACCAGTCCTTACCTGTGTTTTTAAAGAGAAATGCATTTATCTTCACCCTCTCAGTAACTGCTTATTTGGTCTCTGGATGAGCAGGCCCTCAAGGTGGCACAGGTGGCCTGATTAGAAACAGGAAATGGCTCAATGGGACAACTGTTCTTATTTAATCTTTTCATGGTTGAATCAGATTTGCTCCCTTCAACTCTGTTTCATTTAATGCATAGCTTTATGAGGCAAAGATGATTGATCTGGGTTGATGAATCATGTTGATAACAATAACTATTATTGTCCTATTTTGGGAGTAAAAAAGGGGGGGACCATCAAAAAGTTCTGAGAAGAAGGGAAGGTCTGGAATATGGAGGTTCCTGTTCCGGAAAGGGGCCTGTCTTCCTCTCAAACTCAATTTATTATTTGCTTTTCTACATCCTTCAGATGTAGATTTTTTCATAATAACAGAAAATACAAGAAGATACACTAAATTAGAGAAAAATGATGAAGATTCTAATTGCTGAGGAATCTTTGAGCAAATTATTTCTACTTTCATTTTCTTACCCATAAAATGGAAATTAAAAATGGGGAGGGATGTGGGAGGGGGGATCGGGATGGGGAACACATGTAAATCCATGGCTGGTTCATGTCAATGTATGGCAAAAACCACTACAATATTGTAAAGTAATTAGCTCCAACTAATAAAAATAAATGGAAAAAAAATTTAAAAAATGATACTTTTTTCATAGAGTTGTTCTGAGGATCAAAATGAGAGCATCTGTGGTCAGAGCTTAGAAAAGTGCTCAGCAGAGTTCACTGCATGTGCTGCTGCTGCTGCTGCTTTCTGTTCCAAGGGAGATAGTATCTTCATCACTACCACCACCATCCCCTCCAGGATGACCACCCCCACTATCCTTTCAACCATCATCACCACCCATGTCATCATCACCACCACCATCCCCACCAGGATGACCATCACAACTATCCTTTCAACCATCACCACCACCCTGTCATCATCACCACCACCATCCTCACCTGGATGACCATCCCCACTATCCTTTCAACCATCATCACCACCCGTGTCATCATCACCACCATCATCCTCACCAGGATGACCATCCCAACTATCCTTTCAACCATCATCACCACCTGTGTCATCATCACCACCACCATCCTCACCAGGATGACCATCCCCACTATCCTCACCACCATCATCACCATCATTACCACCACTTCTGTCACCATCATGACCACCACTATTAGCTTCCTATCATTATCATCATCATCATAGGTAGCATTATACCCAACAGCTGCTTCTTGTCCTATGCAATAAGCAGATTATTTTAGAAGGGTTGAAAGAGTCATGAAAAAAGTCCCTGTGTGGGGAGTTGAGCGGGAAAGTTGTATTTGATCTATCTAGATACTGCCATTTCTGGTGATGCAGACAAGGCACTTAAAATTTCCAAGCCTCAATTTGAAAAAAAAAAAAAAATTTCAGGGATAGCATGAATGCTTGTATCACATGTATTGAAAAATTAACACATTACAGAATAATAATATATAATACATATAACAATGTTATAAATATATGAAGTGCATTATTAAAATACACATAATGAATAAGCAAAGCAGCAGGCTTTCCAGAGTGTGCTCTTATCTCTGCAGGAGGGTGTCTTCTTAGTTAACCCATGATCTATAGCTATCCCTGAGGACACAAGTGAAGTCAGAACAGATCCAGAAAATCTAGCACCTTGGCACCAGTGTATTTTATCAGATTGGCATTAGGGGCCCTGGTCCCTATTCTATTTCCTGAATTTTCACAATGAGAACCAATGAGGGAAAAAGATGGGGCTTGGGATTTAGTAGTTGGTAGTTATTACTATCAGTGGAAATTTCAATCCTGCAGGGATTTCAGTTGAGGTCCTCCCTACCTAGGATTTGTAATCACTTTACCATTCGCTCAGAATATGCTTGTGTCCTAAATGCACTGACAACTCCCTTCATCTTTCTACCTTTTTCAATTTTTGGTTTCAGCTCCTTCTGAGATCACTTTTGCCATTGATGTTGGAAATGGTCCCACAGAGCTCATAGTCCATTCTCCTTCTCCTCTGAATGACAACCAATGGCATTATGTCCGGGCTGAGAGGAACCTCAAGGAAACCTCACTCCAAGTGGACAACCTCCCGAGGATGACCAGGGAGGCCTCAGAAGAGGGCCATTTCCAGTTACAGCTCAACAGCCAGCTGTTTGTAGGTAGGGGACATCTTCAGGTGCCCTTTGTGCTAAAACGCCTGCATGGCCACAGTGGAACTGGGCCCAAGGAATGTTAACTATTTTATTTTAGACCTGAGGAATGATCACAATATTTCATAAAGCATTTATAATTACAGATGTCATTTTACAAACTCTTCCTTTCTATATTCATTAGCTTCAAGAATGAATGATTGTCATTGCTTAGCAAAGTTTGCGGGGGTCTCAGACTCTTTTTGTATCTTTTCTCCTTGTTCATATTGTATCTTCAGATGTCTAGGGACTTCTATTATTTTTCATCGTTATAATCAAAATATATTCTCGGAAAGAAGAGTGTAAGCTATTTAAACCTTTTTAGATGCTGACTCTGTCAGTAGGCTACAATTGACCTTTCTTAGTGACACCTAACTCCTGATGATTTTTGATGTAATGATATATGTTACAGCATCTTCAAGTGATTTGGGGAATCACCAATATGGCAGGGGAGGGAGCTATTGGTTTTTAAGCTAAGAGCTTCTTTAATACTCCCAGAAATCACATCCCGTAGGTGGCTGCCTGATACTTGCACAGAAAAATAGCCTGGTCCCCAAGCATACATCTCTCCACTGATCATTCCCTCCTTGAGACTCAGAATCAGCCTTTAGATAAGTTGCTTATCTGAGCTGACTGCTGCTGCTGGAAATAGGGCCTGGGGGGCTCAAACATCTTTCACTGAGCCTTTCATTCATTCATTCCATAAATATTAAGTGAGTACCAAAAACAAATCAGGTTCCTTGTTGGATGGTGGGAGTTGAAAGATGCCTTATGCAATAAAATATCTTTTTCAAGTGCTCACTGTGTGTGCGTGCGTGTGTGTGTGTCTGTGTGTGTGTGTTGTGGGAGAAATAGAGAGACAGAAATAGAGAGAATTCCACCGCATTAGTCCAGATAGGAAAAGAAAGGCTCACATTATGACTACGATTTAGGAGGGATTCTTTGAAATTAAGTTGAGCAGGGCATATGGGTTTAAAGTACAAAACAGAGCTGAAAATGTTAGGTATATTGTATTATTATCAAAGCCAAGACACTGCTCTTATCTGAAACTTGAAGTTCAGATCCTTAGAACAGTAGTACCAATAAGTTCCAAAATTTGCCAGTATACCCAGATTTAAGTTTCTTTCCTTCTGTATTTATTTTGTCAGCTCACACTATATAGCTTTACTGCTAGTAATGAAATGTCATCAGCTATCAGTGGGTGTGTCTTAATTGCTTTCTTGAAATCCGGGTCTGTGCAACTTTTAGCTCTGAAGACACTGCTCACTAGAACACACCAACTAAAAGAAAAGAAGTAACAGAATATGTGATCTGTCTTTCCAACAGTGATCATATTTCTTTCTTCATCTATCATGTTTTACATATTCAGCAGAAGCTAAGACATAAATGATTAAGAGCATTTTTATGAATGATGATGAAAAGGCATTCACTTAGTTAACCTACATAAGTGATATGATTTACTATTAAAATGTATATTTTTAATTTATATTGATGTCTTAATTCTATTTAAACATAGCATTTTATTGCTGTGAATAAGTTTGCTAGTCATCAAGATTTAATGTCTTTTTTGGTATAATCAATTCAAGTACTTTGCAATTTTCATAAATTACATTCCATGCCAAAGTTTAATTTATCGTCAGACTGTACTGATGAATCTTTCTGGTTGAAAGGTGTGTATAAAGATGGAATTTTTCAATCCCTTCATGCAAATTTCATGTAGTTATGAAATTATCATACAGCTTGAAAATGTGACAAAGTCTGTGCAAGTTGCAAGTGAGAAGAGGCAGCTGTGTTTCTCACAGGTTTTAAGCTCTAGACGTTTCTCTTAAATTGATCACAAATGCGGTGAGTAAGAGCTTGTCTACAGGTCTGGAGGTGACACCCTGCTCGAGTTGCCGCCAAGGTCAGCCACAGCAAGAGCACCGGCTTCTGTTCTATTTCTTTCTAATAAGTTCCGTCTCAGATGTTACTCTGCTTTACTGAATTTGGCTTAATATACTTGAGGAAGAAAAAATGCCGTTGGAGGTCATTTTAGTCTGTTGGTTTGAATTTTGCTATTTAGTGTTCAGTCTGCTTAGAAATGTTGGGTGGCAAAAAAAAAAAAAGAAAAAAATTGAAGTCCTGGTATTTCCATTTTGTATGGTTCAGTGGTTTTAAAACAAAAAAAAAGAACCTCTACTTAGCTAGAGCAGCCAAAATGATGAATTGCATTCTCTATCATTCAGAAATTTTGTCACTGGATTTTTATACTTGCCAGGCAGAAAAAACTATGATTGCTGTGTGCTTTTCTTTAATTTTTTTTTAAATTGAAGTATAGCTGAATTACAATGCTGTGTTAGTTTCAAGTGTATAGCAAAGTGATACCATCATACATATACATATAGTCATTCTTTTTCAGATTCTTTTCTGAATGTAGGTTATTGGAAAATATTGAGTATAAGTCCTTGGTGCTATATAGTAGGCCCTTGTTGGTTATCAGTTGGTTAACTGGATAGATTGAATGTGACGGTACTTAAATATTCATCTGGATATGTCTGTCTAGACACTTTTAACCACTGAAGGATCTTTCAATCAAAACAGAGTGTTGTTCAGCATGGAAATCACTGGTATTGCTGTTGTGCCCACGAGTGCTTCCTAAGTACCAGATTGAATTTTATAGAATGGATGCACCTCTTAGCAATGCTCCTGTCATTGGAATGTGAAATGCTGACATGCTGGTACCCAAGTCAGTGCACCCTGGATTCCTGGAATCAGTATTGCAGCTGCAGACTTTTATTGCCCTGGTAGTTAGGGACAGTTGCAACCATGCCATTTCAGTGGTGGCATTTTTTTAATAGAGTAGGAGAAATTTCATAACAGGAACTTCTGAGATGAACGCTGCAAGCTTGGGCTTGTTTCAGCTTTAAAACCCTTGGCTGCACAATCCCTCTCTTTTGCTATTCCTTACTCCTCTGGAGTAACCTGGAGAATCCCATGGACAGAGGAGCCTCGTGGGATACAGTCCATAGGGTCGCAAAGAGTCAGACACGACTGGGTGACTTAGCATGCACACACTAGCTTTTCAAGTCAATATGAGGATGAGGCAAGAGAAATCTAAGAAGTAGCACCTTTTACTAAAAATGAAATGAAGAGATCTAGGTGTGAACTCCAGGTCAACTGCCATCAGGTCTTGGGGCACTAGTAGGAAAGCAACTAGCCTAAATGGACTCACTGTCTTTATTTGCAGAATGAAATTGATGAGCATGGTAATGGAACTCTCACAACCTGTGGATCTGCTATCATCTCCATGTGTATGTTAGACATGACAATCATCCTTACCCTCATGCCTGTGTGTATGTGACAGCATGGGAAAATATCTCATGGTCCCCAAATCTGACATCTCATCTTTCCCAATATGTTGGAATTATAGACTAGACACTTTGTAGAGCTGTGAGACTGGGAATCTTATTTTGTGTTACTTTACTTTCTTCTTACCTTTTTGACCTTTCATGAACCTTTTTTTTTTTCTTTTCCTTTCTTTCTTTTTGGCTCAGCTGCTTTATTTGTATCAAAATAAACTGAAGTAACTCCCACTTAGAACTCCTTGGGGAAAATATCCCAGGGACTTGATAAATCATAAAGTTGCAGAGTCTCCCCCTGCCCCTCTGTGCTGCGCCTGCTTCCACACCAGTTGGGAATTATTATTCATGTTTTCAGATGAAGCAGGTCAAACTTGGCGAGGTCAGCGGTGAAGGCAGGCAAAGCCTCGCTCCTTGGCTGTGCCCTGACACTGTGCTGCCAGAGTCTCTCTGAGGAATGGTCACTGACATTTACTCTTGAGAGCGCCCCACATGGATGGCTCGCCCGACACAGGCCAGAAGAGCTTTCTATCAGAAAAGATGTGTGTCTTCATAGGAGGAGATATACATCCTTTTCACATTAAGGAAGAACTAGAAAATCACCTTTAAGCATATTTGTTACATAAAAGCATTGTTGTGTGGAGGATGTCAATGGTGAGAAGTGAAAATATCATTGTCTTTCTACATCCATACTTTCTGATGATAAGGTCTGATTTACCAAAAGTTTTTTTCAAAGCTAAATATGTCAAGTATGCTTGAATCATTTTAGCAAAAATTATTAATGCAGGATATCTAGTGTTTCTTGTAATAGTTCAATAAGCGGAGGTGTCCTGATCATTTAAGAAGTGCATAGCAGACCTCAGTATCCCAATAGGCAAGTCCCAGGAATGCTTTGCTTCCTCTGTGCTTCTACGATAAAGAATAAAACAAGAGCCACCTGCTTCCTCTTGCACTTTTTTCTTCCCCAACACCATATATGCTTCACAAAGTCAGATTCTTAGAACTTGAATGTACTTAAAAACAACACTAGTTCTTTTTATTTACAGAGAAGTAAATGATTAAATGACTCTTCCAGTGACTTCCCCGGCAGTCCAATGGTTAAGACACTGCACTTCTAATGCACAGAGCAGGGGATCAACTCTGGTTGGTGAACTAAGATCTTGAATGCTATGCAGCACAGCCAAAAGGGAAAAAGAAGCAAGCAAGCCAGTAAATGACCCCTTCCACTACGTGTTGTCTCGTACTGAAGCTGTTGAGCATTGTTAAGCCAACCGGAAGCCCATGTTAGTTTTTTTCTGCTGCTAATATTCTAAAAGCCTTTTGGAAATGTTTATCTACAATCTCTGAAACTTTAACTGAAGCTCCTTTTGTCACATACTGGCTGCATTGGATTGTTAATGGGCCACTGATGGAGAATGTAGACTTTTCTTAATCAGTTTCACTGTTTACATTTTTAATTCTGCCTTTGAGAAAACATACCTCAAAGCATACCACCTTTTCTTTTTAAAGAAAAGTACAACATGGTATCATTTTTCTCAGGCAGCCCAGGGAGAAAAGCCCTGAGATTTGGACCATGACAAAAACCCAATGATGGAAGCAGTCTTTCTGGTTAACGTGGCACCTCCGGTCATC